TTTTTTTTTTTTTTTTTTTTTTTTTTGCGAAATAAAAAGAAAAATATTTTCGGTAAAATTTATTCGATAAAAGGTATATAATCCGGTTCGATTAACCAGAAAATGAAATTTTGCTCGATATGTCAATGAACACCGCCCCTATAAATTCTTTATTTATTAATTATCCAATCTATTGCCTAGCATTAAACCAAACGCTATTAATGCGCATATATGTATATATACATACATACAAACAAGCCTTTAAATCGGGAACAAATTATCAGTAATCCAAATAGCAGGTTAGGGAATTGAATCAATTTGTAGCGATGTTAATGCATTAGTGGTTTCAAATACAATTACGAAACCGATTTGAAACCGAAACCGGAATCTCTTACTACCATCGTTACTACCAACGATTAAAACCTCGATCAATTTTCACAATCTTTTGCGAGGCAAAAAATTTTTACAACCTCGAAAAAAATCCCTTGATCGACGAGCTACCTTCTCCCCTCCTTCGCCACGCCTTCGATACCCCTTCGAAATTAAATAAAAAATTTCCACCACGGTGAGGAAAAGGAAAAACGAATTAACCCCAAAACCTGTTGTTCTCGCTATATTCCATCGTTTCAGATCACTTGGCCGCGCGCAGTATTTTTATCTTTTCATTTGACGAGGCGCGAGGAATAGGACGACACGTCCGCCCGCCCCCTTTGTGAGCCGAGTGCTACTTGCCGAACGATGCGGCGTGAGCCACTTGCCGCATGAAATAACGGGTCGCTGATTAATTAGATCGAGTGTCGAGGCATTTGTGCATGCCAATCCACTCCAACTGTGTACATCCTCGGATAATTTCTACAAAAGACGAGCCTTCCCTTTTCGCGTATCGCGCATCCACAACAGCTCTCCCTCCAAACCCCCTCCCCTCCCCTCGTCGAAGCTTATTTGGAAAGCTCTGTCTTGGATAATCGCTTTCGCGTCACTTTCGAGAATAAAATCGCCTCTTCCCACGATGCATCGAGGGGGAAGGATTAACGATTCGAAGTCGAAACGGCGAGGATTAGTTTTGTTCGTAAGTTGATAAGCAACCGGAAATTGATCGAACTTGGTCATTATTGGCGCTTCGCTTCACTTGTAACGTTCTCTTTCTTTCTTTTTTTTACAAAATGATGAGCTTTAACTCGATTAAGTTGTCTCTTTTCTCTTTTGTCTTTTTTTTTTTCGTTTCTCTCTTCTCTCTTCTCTCTTCTCTCTCTCTCTCTCCCTCTCTCCCTCTCTCTTCTTTTTCCCCTTTACTATATTTGACGTTGATCGAATGTTTACGGAAGAACGAAGATATCAAAGGGAATCGATGTTGGTATTTTACTCGCGCAATGTTAAATGCACACTGACAGCTCCATTCGATGGAATGCCAATATAACTTTTTGTATAAATGCATTTTTATCAACGGGCACCTCCTCGTCCGGATGTCGCCAACTTCCCCTATGAATTTTTATAGCGAGCGAGAATTTTAACGAATGTTTTCCATTGTTTTCTCGCGTTTCTACAGTTTTCGTTTTATCATAATGGAATTCTTCTTTGATACGCTCACCGCCTCGCCAAAGTAGTATCCCGTCATATTATCTTTCTTTTTCCCTTCGATGAAACGTTAACGAACGAATCTTTTTCCTTTCTTCTTTTTATTTTTTATTTTTTAACCATCTTGGCGATCCCGAGCGCGAAGCTTCTTCAAATGTAATTACATTCGTCCAACGGATACATCGAATAGAGCGGAGTTTTAAATTTAAATAAATTTTCTCTGGATCATCTGGTTGGAAAAAAAAAATTCCTAGAATGAGATCGTAATACACACATCGTCTTCTTTTTTGATTTTACAGAAATAATAATTAAAGGGGCGATCATTTCGCAGCAGAGCGAAGAATCGTATCATCGTTTCGAATTGTTTTTAAATGTCAAAAAGAAAAAAAAAAAGATATTTTCGCGATACGATATCCCTCTATCTCTACGCGGAAACTAGACGAAAGAGGGGGAGTGGGGTGGATATACGAGCGTGCAACTTTTTTTTTTTTTTTTTTAGCCAGTTAGCAATCGCGTTACTAAGCTTTGTCGATTTCTGGCAAACAAATCGACACTTTTTATATCCATTGGGCATGCACGCCACCAGCTACCAGCATCACCTTCAATATCGATTTTGTTAACCGCTGGCATACTTCGTTGTCGGTATCCTTCGAGGCCATACAAAACGTACGTCCACCGGTTTACGTACGTATCTCCTCTGTGTAAATTGAATTGGCCGCTTAAGGCTATCGAAGGACAAAATCCCGCAATATCGTTCGGTCACTCTATCACTGCACCTCTCGTCGTTTTTCCTCTCCGCGGTTTCTCCACCCTATTGTTTGTTTTAAAGCTACAAAAGCGCAAATTTACAGATAGACGTATCTCGTTTCAAATAAATACCCTTGTAACATTTGAACGAGAGGAGAGGAGGGAGAGGGGCAGATAGGGATGAATTTCCCTTCCCTTTGATTTAAGAGTAACGTAATATTTCTACGAATATTTTATCTCGAAGAAAATGGAAGAGTAAATTCTTTATAAATTTCTATGATTCCTTCTTTTCTTTTTTTTTTTTTTAATAGAAATAAGGAAAAAATATCTAGAAATTGATTAAAAAAAAAATCATCGCTTGGAGTAATTCGAAAAAGAATATTATAATATTTTTCGTATAATAAAGCCATTTCCAAAGAAAATAAATCAAATTTAGTTGAAGAAAAATATCTTGGAATTGACTATGAAAAAATTGTTTGGAAATGGAGAATTTCAATATTTCTTTTCCTTTTCTTTTCCCTTTTTATTACTTCAAATATAAAAATTTCCATTATCCAGTTGTCTGTGTCGAGTGTAATGCGAAAAATA